GTAATTTCGGCAGAGGATACGAAATCCTGCTGATGAATTTCAGCGGCGCAAATTGGTTCTCGCAGGTGGCACGCGAGGGGTGGGAAAAAAAAAGTTTTACGGTAGATTTTTCACGGTGATAAGCGCAATAAAACGTACGATTCATTCGGTCTTGGAATGTCCGCGAGAGTGTTCTTGTCTGGGCTGTAATTGTCACACAGATGGACGAGAGTTGCGGCTCTCGTGCCGAGCGTTTAAAATTCCTTGGGTTTTACCTGTAGCCTCCCCTCGCCCTAGCGGGTATCAATCAAGCAATTTCATAGCGAGACAGGCTGACGTGAATCTCCAGCGATTCGCCGTGCACGCGCGGGATTTAAGTAACTCGAAACGTCATAAATATGCAGCTCGGGAACATAATGGCAGGCGAGTCTTGAGGACTCATTAATAAAGGCGCGTACGAGATAGATAGAGGGAGGGAGGGAGGGAGAGAAAGAGAAAGAAGAGATGGCCGCTTTCGTACACGGCGATTAATCACAGCTGGAGACGCTCTCCTGCCGAGCTTTATGGAGCCGTTAAACACAGCCGCCGAGATAACACGGAGTTAAAAAGGCAACCCTTTTAACGCTTAAAACCCGCCCGGACTCGAAGCTCTCCCGCGTCGTCTTTCGCGGCCTCCTCCCCCTTTCTCTCTTTTTTTCTTTTCTTTTTGCTTCCTTCCTTCCTTTTTCTCACTTCCGTGTGCACTTCTAGTCCCGGTCATTTGCGACCTTCGACTTGGGCGCAAGCGGCGTCTCGCACCCGTTCGCTCAACTATGGCGATTCAATGAGCAAGGAGGCGGGGGTTATTTCATAGTTGGAGTTACGAGCGAATCTTCGCGCCAACGGTCGCACGGAGAGAAATAAATACTCGACTGCGTCCGCGCAACCAGCGCGGCAGGAGGTAAATGAAAATGCATCGCTCGAAAATCTTTAATTTGCAAGGGAACATTTGCGTCCGCACGCGCGCGTGCAACGGTACGCGTATATAAAAGGGGCCTTGGTTATTTGCTCGTAAAAAAAGTAATCCGAAAGAAAGTGGAATATTACAATATTTTACGGCCTGGCGCCGGAATATATTTCACGCTCTACAGAAGCGAGGTCTTTATAAGGAGATATTTTTTTAAAGTCGACCCCCGACTTGCGCGCACGTCTCTCAAGCGCGACGTCGACAGGATCGACCGTTTCCGATTTGTCTTAATTACGCTCGCGACGAAATAGGCGGGGGAAGTTTTCGCAGCGCATCTCTCGTAATGAGCACAATATAAAGTACACCATTTATCTTGTCTTGGAACTCGTAGAATTTTGCTCCAAGCTATTTACTACAGTTATCACATTTATGTTCGTTCACATTTATGTTCGGAAGGGAGTAGGTAGCTCAACCGCGATTTAAGCGATCAAGACAGTACAAGTGAATATTCACCAACAAACTTATCCGACGCGCGTAAAGATCCCCTCCCCCCTGACCGAGACGAATCTCGAAAACGCATCTCGGCCTTATAGCCCCGCGAAACTCTCTCTCTGCCGCGATTTAAGCCGCAATACATCCTACTCGCGCCACGACATCTCCGACACAGTCGTGAAAACTCACGATAACGCATCGTCAATGAGAGTCAGGAGATGAACTCTACACATGTCAATCCGACCGTAGTGCGTAGTCTTATTGACCGCAGCTTGAACGTTCTCACACTGAGAGAAAAATATCTCATATTAAAACAAATCATATTTATTCGCGAAGAGAGTCCCGATAACATACTCACACTCCTGACACAAAATATTTTTCAAATAAGAAAATATACATTTTCTTAAAGCCTTAGCTTTGCACGAAAGCGATTGTTTATTCTATTTAAAGCGAAATAATTTGAGGGAAATATGTTATCAGTGCACTCGACGAATAAATATATTTCTTATTTTTCAGATATTTTTCCTCCCAGTGCACGATATGCGCATCCCCCTCAGTGTGTGTATTTCTGTACTTATAACTAATACTAACGATAAATGTGTGCGTTGTTGATAGAAGGTTTAGCCGAGAAAGCTTATGTTTGCGTGCATTTAATGTTTAATGATCTGCATTTTCCACAGCTGCATGATAGTTTAGCATTTCTTTATGTCGCTACATCTCTGCGCAATACACTGCTCTCTCTCTCTCTCTCTCTCTCTCTCTCTCTCTCTCTCTCTCTCTCTCTCTCTCTCTCT